GGTTTGGAAAAGATATCTAGCTGGGTGGGGAAGTGACTGTCTGTCTGCATGGTCATATAAAACAAAATAATAAAAACAAATGGATTGGGTCTGGACAGGAACAACACTTAAAAGTTTGCAATGATGAGAGTCTGGGCAAATTTCCTGCCTTTTGAGAATAAGTAACCCCATAAAGTCAGAAACCACCAATTTAGAAAGTGTCCAGTCACCTGGTCTCCAACAAAGCTCAGTTGTGCGTTACTTGGGGAAAAGATCAGAAATCATACAGCAACAGGTTTATTGGAAAACACAAGCTTTTGTAGCTTCACTCCTTCTGCAGGTATTAATCTAACGCCTGAAGAAGAAGTGAGGCTCCGAAAGCTTGAGTTTTCCAATAACCTGGTGTTGTGTGATTTCTAACCTTGTCCAGCCCAGTCCAACTCCAACACCAGCACCTCCATAACTTGGGCAAAAGCTTGACAGTATTCTGCCTCCACCTGATAATTGTCAAATAACATTTGTGCACAAGTGTTTGGCAATGACCATCTCCAACAAGAGAGAATCTAACCATCTGCCCTCGCTATTCAACAGCATTACCTTTGTTGAATTTCCCGCCATCATACCACACCCACAGTGATGGAACATGATGGTGAACTTTGTGATTGTATAATATGGACATCACTTGGGTTATTTGAAATGTGGCAGCAAGCTAATATCACTGTGGGGCTGTCAGAAGCTAAGTAGAATGCTGTTTGTTATTGAGTGACAAGAAAATTTATGTTGCTGTCATACTGACATTAAGTAGTGATGAATACGGAGAAAGAACTGAGGCATGATAGTTCTGACAGATGAATTATTAATTTGTATAGTAAGATGGTTTTCAACTTTTTTTGCTTCTGAGGACCACCACGCTGTGTTGTAAAAATTCTGTAGAACTCCTACAATGCCTGCATGTAGCAAAACCTGCACAACTTAAGTGGCAAATAACATTTACTCCACACAAATGCCAGCAATGACCATCTCCAATAAGAGACAATCTAATTACTATCCCTTGACATTCAAAGGTATTACCATCACTGAATCCCCCATTGTCTGCAGTGGTTCAAGAAGGTAGCTTACCATCACCTTCTCCAGGACAACTAGTGATGGGTAATAAACGCTGGCAAACTAGTGGCGCCCACGTCCCACAAATGAATATTGAAAAAAAAACAAAAATCTGTCCACCATCAACAAAGCCCAAGTCAGGAGTGTAATGGAGTATTTTCCAGTTAGCCGCATGAGTGCAGCTCCCTCAATATTTAAGAAACCTGACAGTATCATATCTGAACAGGTTGATTAAAAATATCTTCAAGATGAAGCAGACTGTTTGACATCCTATCCACTTAAAAATTAATTTAAACCTTAACCATTTAGTACTACCATCACCACCACTAGTGTACAATGGTAGCGGTGTGTTCCATTTAAAAGGTGCATTGCTTCCACTTGCCAAGGCTTCTTTGAGAATATCTTCCAAACCCCTTGAGTTCTACCACCAAAGAGCAAGGGCAACAAATGCATGAGAATATCACAGCCTCAAATCCTCCTCTAATTAATTTACACTCAATCCTGACTTTGGTAATATATGAAAAGCAATATAATTCAATGAGCTAAATCCCAGATTTCTTAACAGTATTGTGGATATAGCTACAATGAATGGACTGCAGCGGTTCTAGAAGGCAGTTTGCCATCATCTACCCAAGGGCAATTATGAATCAGTTATAAATGCTGGTCTTGCCAGAGGCAGTGAAATTCCAAAGAACAAATAATACAAACCTTTATACTGTCCATACAGAATACAAACATAATGGTTGTCTAGTTATGACTACTTAAAGGGTTTCTGTTTGAAAGTGGTGGTGGTGTAAAACTGAAGCAACTCCCAAGCCAGGTAAAGTTTACAAGTGCATCTGCTAATATCAGTGAATGCACAAAAAATGGAATAAAATGAGCCAGTATCCCACAATATTTTATTGTAGATTTATTCAGTTTGTTGAAGGGAAACTCTGAAAGAAATTCTCCAACTCCAAAAGATAATCAGAACAAAATCCCAAAATGTCTCTTTACACCTCACTTACAACCAACATGACTGAAATCTTCTGTTAATTAAACTAATGCTCTACATGCTCGCTCGCTTATAGTGCATAATGTAAAGGGAAGTCGTCCCTCCCAGACAGCAATTTCAACAGTATCTGTGGCTCTAAGATTAGGATCAACATTATAACAGCCCGTTGCTCCTTTCAGACAGGTTATCGGCTGCAGGTTTAAATTTCCTGTGTTGAGATGATTAGCCCAATCATGGCCATTGCTCCTCATAAAGTGTGAAATTTGATTTGAATATTTCTGGTGCTGTCAATGTCAGTGTAACAGATATGTTTGCGACTGGTGTATGGGGAGTCAAATGAGAGTCAAGCCAAGATGAACTTCCCACTGTGAACTCCAGACAAATTTATATAGGTATACTTATTGTCCCAACAATTTTAACTCCCAAATCCGTCTCCTTTCTAACACCCACCTGTGTACATTAATAAGTGAATGTACTCAATTAATTTGTTTTAATTTGGATATTTCAATGGTACCTTAGTTGATTCCAGCATGGCACCTTACAGGAGAAGTATGTTTTTACTTGACATGATTATAAATAACTGTCATTCTGAATTCTTTGATCACCTTTTTATTATTTTGTTACTTACGATCCTGTAACACTATTGCTGAAACCATTGACTGGTGAAGCCGTTTAAGATACCATCAACATGTTTAGTTTTGTGAAACAGTTGAAAGCTTGAAACAAGAAACAGGGTAGAATCTGATAGGGGTTTGAATGACATGGGCTTTGCTCAGATTCATGACTTGAGTTAGGCGAGAATTCCAGTGAGGCTCATCTTGACATTGGGAGCATTTACCTCCATCTTTTATCCTTTTTCTAAGTCACATGACAAGTTGTCAATTAAAGGGGGCTTATAGTTTGTTAAATGCCTTGTTGATAGCAACTTTCTATCTTAACAAACTCGACCAATGGTCTAGACCATGTAAGACAATGCAGCATACAAACCAGAGAGGACATCTGGCAGATACAGCTAGCTGCTTGCTCTGAGTGACCTCTGTATTGCCTACAACCAAACAATAGACAGGGCATAATCTAGGTTTTAATAGAGTGGATCCAGAGAGAATATTTCCTCTTGTGGGGAAGAGAATGACTAGATTCATCAATGTAAGATACCCATAGATTGATGAGAATATGGAACTTGCTACCACAGAGAGTGGTTGAAGTGAATTCTGTAGACACATTTAAGAAGAATTTAGTCAGTCGCGTATATTGTGTGCAATCCTGTGCAAGTTATTTCAAACAGATGAGAGAAAACACACAAAATTATCCTGTTGTACATCAGAGAGGATGTGAATGGGCCACTAGTATTTTGAGGGTGTCATAATCTCGGGGATATGAACCATCCATAATGGCTGCATTTAATTGATTGCACTAGATAGAATGGCAGCTTCAAAGTAGATTATTTTTTCCATTTTTTTGATTTTTCGTCTGGTTTATTGATTACACTGATTACATTGAGCAAGATACCACCGCAATTTCCTTTGCTCTGATCCTCCCCTCCCTGCTAAAACTAATCAGGGGGAGGTGATGAAATTACCCCTTAATGTAACAACATTAGAGCATGAAAAGAGGTCAAGGCCAGGATATTTGGGGTTACGCAGTTGCCATGAAATTGAGAAGCTGTTTTTCCTCCTTTTCCACTTTTCTTTATCTTTTCATTGTACTTTTCAATCTTTTGATTATCTCACTTTCTATACTATGGTTACATTTCTAGTAGTTTCAGCCCTGAGGGTGCTTTTGAGGTAGTCTCTCTGCATATGTGGAGTCCCCCAAAATATTTTGAATAATCCATGCTCAAAGCTTATTAAAATTCTACAGTAAATGCAGCAATTCTCTACTTCCTGTAGTGTGCAAAATGATGGAAAGATGAGTGAATCAGAGGTGGTGCTCAACACTTCCATTGAGTATGACTCGCCAATGGAGGTACATAATCATTGTTAGTAATGTATCTTGGAATCATCGTACATTTGGCAGTTCTCTTTATATAGAATATAGAATCCCTACAGTGTGGAAACAGCCTCTTTGGCCCAACAAGTCCACACCAACCCTTGGAGCAACCCACCCAGACCCATCCCCTTATAACCCACCTAAGCTACACATCCCTGAACACTACGTGCAATTGAGCATGGTCAATCCACCCAACCCGCACATCTTTGGACTGTGGGAGGAAACCGGAGTACCCGAAGTAAAAACACAAAATACTGGAAGTGAACAAATGCTTTGTTGGCACCTGAAAATAAAACAGTTTGTTTTGAGACCCCTTTTTACTTGAATTGCATTGTTTCATGCAAAGTCTTAGTTCTCTGTTTACAAGATGGGACATGAATTAGACCAACATTTTATAGATCATGGAATATTCATAGTGCTGCTAGCTGTGACTAAATTGGTAGTACTTTCATCTCTGAATCAGAAGGATTTGAACATGCAATCCAGGACTTGAACAATAATATGAAGGCAGGCACTTTAGTGCAGTAAGGAAGGAACAGCTGAACTTATAATGCTACTATCTTTTTGAATGAAATGTTAAATCAAACGTCGGTTAGTGCTAATATGTGGACATTAAAAAAATCCCTTGGCCTTGATTTGAAGAAGAGAAGGGAAGATATTCCCAATGTTCTGGCCAATATTTTGCCCTCAATCAATATCATAAAACAGTCTGGTCATCAGCTCATTAATGTTTGTAATTGACTGTATGTTTCCTACAATTGCTGTAAGTATACACTTCAAAAGTAATTTATCGAATGTAAAGCACTTTGGCGTGCCCTGTGCTTGTAAACAGTGCTGTATAAATGATAGTCTCTTTATATGCTGTGTTCATTGTAATATAATAATATATTCCTACTGTTTACTTGGTTATGCAGATTACCTATTCTCTCTGCAGGTCAGCTGTCCAGATACTTACATTGAGAGGTTTAATGCAGCACTCAGCCAGTACATGGGAGCTCTACAGAGCATTGTGCCTCTATTCATTTACATGGTGGGTAGCTGTTTCAACAGCAAGACTTTTGTCATTAACTGCTTTGATAATAGTTTGGTTTTCCTCTTCAAAATGAGCAGCATTATTGCAGTCCACTTTCCTTACCTCTATTCAAATACTGAATTTGATGGAAGGTTGTTTTTCTTCCAAATCAATCAATTGTAGACTCCAGAACTTTCAAGTACAAGCTCTGTTTCACGCTACACAGTTGTCTTTGAGTTTGCGTGTTTGTTTTGCATCTGTGAGAAATTATGTTGAAAGTGGGCTTCATTTGTAAAACTTTAATAAAGAATCATTAGTCTTTGTTTTATTTCTTAAGGCGTGCATTCAGATTATGTTTTTAAAGCCACTCACCATTTATCGAGTTGTACCGAATAACCTTAGCTACTCATATATTTTTTTCCTCTCTTTCTTGTGATAAATGTTTAAATGTTTAACCACATTCAATCTAGATCCACATCCTCAAATCCGAAATTCACTGTGTGAAAACCATTGTCAAGCCCAGTTCTCTCCCTCAGTGATGTTGCTTTGAAGTGTACACTTTGCTACAGGCTGCCTCGAATCATACTTTAGTTAGAGTAAGTTACATATATGTTGTAGGCTTAGATTCAACAACAATCTGTGGCAGTGAATTTGATGTGAAGTTGTCAGAGTATTTGTGGACTGGAAGGCAGGACGTTAGAATTTTGTGTTTGTAAAATATTGATGTTTATAAAATATTAGGAGGGAAAGCAGTATGTGGTCCCTTTAAAAGATGATGCGCTTTTTCTATGCTTAGAGATTCAAAAATAAGTCTGTGGGCAGCAGCTTGTGGGTTTGCAGGTGCACAGAGCATCTGAATTGAAACAGTTGTATCAAAAGGCTGCACAGTCAGCAGGCCAGGCAGCAATTTTGTTTTGATATCAAGGCAACAAATTTTGAATTTAGCCAATTAAATTTGAACCAGGCACCCAGATACCAAACACCAATTAAATTTAAACCTGATGGTTTTGACAATGTAAGACCAATTCTATTGTAAGGAATATTGATATATCATCAAGGTATACAAGAAGCTGCAATTGGGCGAAGATGTCAGTGTGAACTGCCATCTGCAAGAGTTAACAACTCTCAGCTCTCAAGAGAACCACTAGCTCTCAGTCTTCTGTAAGTTTTAGAGAAAGCACCATCTAAATCAAAGGTACCTACTGCACAATTAATTAATATTTCTGACAGAAGAATTTGATAGAGAATGCATTCCTGACACGACATTTAATGGAGAAGACGCAGAACATTCCGAAAGACATGTAACCTGGCTGTAATTTTGAGAGACTAAATTCTATTTTTGTTTTATATATGTGGGACTTGTTTTCATTGGAACAGCATACCATTAGAATCGTGTTTGTTCAGAAATAGTTAGTAGTTATAAGGGGTTTATTTGGTTTGTTAATAATGTAGTTAATTTGCTTACTGTTAGAGTTAGATAAATAAATTGTTACTTGTTGATTGTGAAGTCAGGGTTTATTTTACTTAGCCACCAGAAGTTGCTGAAAAAATGGATTACATCTCTTCTCGCACTCCTTTTAATAAATTATAGGGTGAGCGCTCCTCTGGGTGTTTTGGTTTTTCTTATCAGAAGTGGTGGGCGGGGGGGGTGGAGTTAACCTCTGCTTTATAACAAATTCAAACTTTGAACAACTCTCCATGTAAAGAGTTTGGCCACCCCTTGAGTATTTGTTTTTATCTAAAATATGCATTGCCGTAGGGTATCTGCCTGGCCTTTGGCGATTTTAATGAAACTGATTGAAGGTTTGCCGCTCAAAATATACATAATACATTTTCTAAGGCTGTGAAATTTGAATCTTAATTAAACTACATCAGATAATTTTAGTAAATGCCTTATTTTGACCGAAAGGTGGGTAGATATTCATGATGTCTGTTGAAACTTCTTATTATTTTACTTAAATAAGTAGTAAAACTGAGTCTCTGAGCCTCTAATCACATCTGTACTGAAACTATGCACTTCTTGCCTACTTCCAACACACATTGTTCTGGATGCTTATTTTGTTTGTAATGTTAGAGTTGGCATTCCTGAACAATTCCTGTTTAACAAAGTTATTTTTCATTTTAGTTCTAATTGGTTCTCAATTTTGATAAAATAGAGTGCAAAGGATCCCTACAGAAACATTTTAACCAGAGTAAATCTGATTCGCAAGTGAGAAAATTGTTTTGTTAATACAAAATGGCTGTCCAAATAAAATCTATCTTTTTCTCTCTTGCATCCAACAGTTATTTGCTAATTGTGGAAATTACTGACAATGTTGCTGGAGTGAAGGGAATTTGTCATTGATTTGGTTTATATAGCATAGGCTTTTCCAATGCATATCCGTACCTTTCTTAAATAGCATCAAGCAACTGACTTCCTGTTAATGATGGTCTCTGTCTCTTCTCCTAGCTTGTTTTAGAAATTCTCCAGTTCGCAACTGCTTGGTCCATTAAATCTTCACTTTAGGACTTTTTTTACTCTTTGCAGTGGCCCACAATTCCAGTCTACTACTTGGCCCGTGCTGCCCATCGTTTCTTTTCTTCAACCTGTGGTATTATCCCTTTCAATATAATTTGTTAACTTTGCTTTAAAAACAGTCAGAAGTTCAAATTTGATGCCACGAACTATCTTCCATGTAAGGAATTTTAATTCTAATCCCTCTTTGAGTCTTGAGGGTTATTGTAAGTTATACCCTATTACTACTGATTTTTAAGTTAGGCCAGTGTTAAAACCTGGTACCATAAATACAGTAGCTGTCACTTGTCACTAATTAACACTATGGCAGGTGGTGGTTCAATAACGTGGACACCCCTATAAAAGGCTGATTGCTTAGAACTAATGACCATCTGAAAGAGGGTCATTGTTGGCTGTCTTTTGATTCAAGGAAGATGTGTACACAAAGTCATAAGTTTTTTTTCCTATGGTTTTTCACCAAGAAAAGATTAATTCTATCCTTGATCAGAGAAATGACATAAAATGAACTAATCCTTCAATTAGCTGATGACATCAGGACTTGCAACTTTTAATGTTAGATTACAAAGCATGTTAATGAAGCATTAATAGTGAACTATCTGAAACAACACCAGGATTTAAAATCCTGCCTTGGTTTGAAGGGCAGTCGCAGGAATTGTAACAACACATGAAATAATGGTGATCATTATTGTTTCAACAACCAGTGAAAACAGTCTTAACAGTGTTTAATTATTTTAACCCTTCATCACCTTTTATATCCTTGGTCAAGTTGTTTATTAATTTTCTAATCCCCAGTGGATGAAGCCCATAACTCTAATTTTTCGTTCTTGGAAACATACTAGTGAATCTGCAATGCACCTTATGATTTTGTTTTGAGATTTAGAAGAGCAGAATGATTATAAGGTATATAAGAAGATGATGTGCTGTAGACTGGCAACTGCCTCATGTTGAACCAGACTGTTGATGTGATAGTTGACCTGAGATATTGGACAAACTTTTTATTTCACTTGAATGTCGGCAGTTGAGGGACGACCTGATAGAAGTTTGCAAAATTGAGAAAGGCATAGAAAGAATGTAAAATCAGGGTATTTTCCCCCAAGGTACAAATGTCAATTACTGGGGGACATAGATTGAAGGCAAAAGGGGGAAAGTTTAAAGGAGATGTGAGAGGCAAGGTTTTTACTCAGAGGGTGATGTGTCTGGAATGCGCTACCACAGGAGGTGATCAAAGCAGATACAATAACAACGACTGTCCTTTGTTGAAATGAGCTTATGTCTGCATATTTGTGACATTGTTAAGGTTGCCACATTAGTGACATTGCCTGGCTCCAAATTTCCCTTAGCTCCTCTCCTGTTGAAACTCCTATCCATACCTTTGTTACCTGCACACTTGATTATTCTTCTGCATTGCAAGCCAGACTTCCACATTCTACCTTGCCCAAACTGTAGTCATCTGCCCATATCCTTGCTCACACCAAATCTCATTTAGCAATCATCCATCTTCCTGCTGAGCAACGCTAGCACTTGGTCAAGTAATAGCTCACATTTTAAAAAAATTCTTGTTCTTAAGTTCCTACCTACTCGTACCTTCCCTATGTCTATCATTTCCTGCAGTTTCATAAACTTTCAAAATATCTGTTCTTTTCTCATTTCGGCTTTTTTTAGAAACCCCATATTTAATTGATCTACCATTAGTGGCTGTGTCTTTAAGACTCCTTCCTTTAGATTATTAACCAAGCTTTTGGCCGTCGGCCCTAAAAACCATGTTTAATTTTTTTTAAGAAAGTAAATTTATAATGATGGGATGTTTTTATTACATTGAAGGTGCTATATAAATACAAGTCATTATTGCAGGATCAAATCTGGTTCTATTGCTGATGTGAATTGAGTTTTTTTTTTAAATATTGTGTTACTGCATTGATTCCTGTTGATAACTTTCTCTTTTTTTTCTTACAGAACAAATTTTACATTGAAACCAAACTTAACAGAGATTTGAAAGATGACCTCATAAAGTTGTTTACAGAACAGGTTGCAGAAAAGCATGTTCCTACCTTAATGCGTGAGTGGTGTTAAATATGTTTGCGCTCTACTTTCTGTGCCAAACTTGGGTTAATTCTGAAGTGGTGATGAAAACCCTTAATCAAGAATGTGCTTTTGATATTAATAATTCAACTTTTAGTACTAATATTATCAAGTTTTCTTCCTTGGGTATTCTAAGTTATATCAATAATTTTGGAGTTGGCAGTCATAAGATTCTTGAAAAATTTGTCCTCTCCTGAATCCTGATCTTTGCTGTCAGCACGTTTATTCGGTATTTCTGGGATGTGTCTTGGGGATATGCAGTTTTATAGGGTAAATCTAAGATTTATTGAGCATCAATTGTACTGAATCTGAAGGTTAAACTTCCTTAACATTTGTGATTCTGACTCCTTCATTGTCTGATATATTTGTGTATTTCATTTTTTTTTCTATTTTTTCTAGTAAATGAAAAGTCCCCTGTTTATATACACTAGTTTATTTTCTTTTCCAATTATGCAAGTCTGAAATGGTGCAAGAGAGATGGAAGTTGCTTTCAATAATTTACAGATGAATTTAGGTCAGTGTCAATTTAAGTTTGGCACAAAAACAGAAACTGCTGGAAACTTGAGTATAGGAGTTGGGAGGTGATGTTGCGGCTGTACAGGACGTTGGTTAGGCCGCTTTTGGAATACTGCATGCAATTCTGGTCTCCCAACTATAGGAAAGATGTTGTGAAACCTAAAAGAGTTCAGAAAAGATTTACAAGGATGTGACCAGGGTTGGAGGGTTTGAGCTATAGGGAGAGGCTGAATAGGCTGGGGCTATTTTCCCTGGAGCGTCAGAGGCTGAGGGGTGACCTTAGAGGTTTATAAAATCATGAGGGGCATGGATAGCCAAGGTCCTTTCTTCAGGGTTGGGGAGAGGTCCAAAACTGGAGACTATAGGTTTATGGCGAGAGGGGAAAGATTTAAAAGGGATCTAAGGGGCAACTTTTCCACACAGAGGCTGATGTGTGTCTGGAACGAACTGCCAGAAGACGTGGTGGAGGCTGGTACAATTACAACATTTTAAAAGGCATCTGGATGGGTATATGAATAGAAAGGGTGTAGAGGGATATGGGCCAAATGACAGCGAAAGGGACTAGATTAATTTAGGATATCTGGTCGGTAAGGACAAGATGCACTGAAGGGTCTCTTCCCATGCTGTACAACTCTGTGACTCTATAACTCAGCAGGTCTGGCAGCAACTGTGGAGAGAAAGCAGAAGTCATTGTTTGAGGTCCAGTGACCCTCCTTCAGTACTACTTTTGGTAGCTAGAATGTGCAACATTGCATATTGGGCTGAAGTGAGTGGTGTAAACATACAACAAAAGAAGTAGTTTCAACTATGAAAGTGCTAAACTAAGAAGGAAAATTGACGTGTAAAGTCTAAAGCAAAAGGGGTTAATACGGCGCCCTGTGAAGGAATGTTGACCATTAAATGTATCAATGACAAAAATGAACCCTAAATGTTACTTGAGGACCAATAAGTCTAGGGTATATAAATATTAAATTTCATAAGGTTGAAGTTTTCAGGCAATGTAATAACAATAATTTGCCACATATGGATGTTTTAGCTGAATACCTGGGGGCTTTTCCCATTCTTGTATTCAACTTTGGTTTAGAGAGTGAGAGAGTTTAAAAGGCTAACATTGCTGGACCAAATGATCCTTCCTTTTTCTTTATTCTGTTATTGTATTAGCTTGAATGAGCAATTTATTCTTGCTAATGAATCTGAAAGCTATGAGCCCAAGCAGTAGTCCAGGATTGAGCACATTGTTTAGACTGGCACTTCCACTTCAGTGCAACACTGAGGGAGCATTGCCTTTAAGTGTCATCAGTTCAATAAGATATTGGACCAGCCCTAAAATATCCCATGACACTACTTAGAGGAGAACAGAGAGTTCTTCTTGTGGCCTGACCAACATTGCCCCCTCAACCAACTTCACTAAAAACAAACATAACTAGGCTTTTCATCTTGTTCACTATGGCTGTACATTGGACAATGAATGAGCAAATAGGTCACTCCATTTGCCTGCATAACATCAGTGACTGCATTTCAGCAATAATTATGTTTGAAGTGTTCTGACTACTCTTTAGGGGTGTGATAATTTCCAAAGTCAACTTATTATAATTTGCTGTATAGAAACAAGATCATAGTTTTTGAAATCGATAAGTCACATGGACTGACTTTGATTCTACAAATGTAGGTGATCAAATTTTATTTCACAAAGTAATTCACATTAATTCAAGATTGAGTAAACATTTCGACGTGGAAATGGGGCAGAACAAATTTCTTGGACAAAGATTCTTGATTCCATGCATGCATCAAGATTAAAGCCTGTTGTGGATGATATTGGTTTAGTTAAATGCATATGTTTTGCAGGAGAGAAAAGTTAAAGGCCATTATGCTTTACTCCATACCATTTGGATTGTGCGCATTGATACAGAACTGTATCCACCAACTACAAGAACGTAGTTGGCAGATGCCCATGTCATATTGCACTCTGATCTCAGCCATGGGGTTTTGTATCTGCACGCCTCTAATTCCCTAACTTGATTTCTAAAATGCCAACAGCATGTGTGCATCTATTTTATCATAAGATTAAAAAGTGATCTTTTAACAAAGTTTTATCTGGGTTACAGTTCTACTGGAAGCACTGCAAATTTTGACTGATGTGAACAGGTCTCTTGGCAGGATTCTTTCCATTTGGCTTTAATGGACCCATATTTGCTTAATAAGTCAGGATCCGAGTTTTTTTTTGTTACCTTTTAGAATGATGTGTACTTGAAGACACTTTTAATTTGGCATAAAATGTAACTGCACTGTTAATTTAATGCTTGACAAAAAACCAAAAGAACTGCAGATGCTGGAGCTCTGCAACACCAACAGAAAATGCTGGAAAATCTCAGCAGGTCTGGCAGCTTCTGTGGAGAGAAATCCGAGTTAACGTTTCGGGTCCAGTGACCCTTCTTCAGAACAGAAGTTCTGAACAGGATTTGAAGAAAAGTCACTGGACCTAAAACGTTAACTCTGATTTCTCTCCACTGATGCTACCAGACCTGCTGAGATTTTCTAGCAATTTCTGTTTTTGTTTTAATTCTTCCTGCTCTTGGCCTCCTGACTTCTTTTCATGACTCCTTACTTCACCTTGAGTACTATAGCCCTTGTTATGCTTTAACTGTTTCTTCTGCTTCTATTTCAGCTTTACTAATAGAAGCTCAGTCAACTCCATTTAAGGTCACCCCTTCAACCATGGCAAATATAGTTAAAGGCTTATATACACTTAGACCTGGTAAGTAACAGTAAGTGAAAAATTTCTTTTTTATTCTAAACAATTTGTAGCATGGAAAACGCAGAATGACAAGTTGCAGTGGCATAGTGGTTATGTTACTGGGCTAGCCATCTGGAGGCCTTGACTAATAATTCGGAGCGATGAGTCCAAATCCCAAAAATTAATTTAAATGCATCTTTAGTGGAAGACTAGCATCAGTATTGGTCACCTAAAAATTAGCAATTGTCTTAGAGGCCAATTGATTTACAAGTGTCTATCAACATGGAAATGGAGCAGAACAAATTTCTTTGACAAAATATCTTGATTCCAAGCATGCATCAAGATTAAAGCCTGTTGTGGACGATATTGGTTTAGTTAAATGCATAGATTTTGCAGGAGAGAAAACTTAAAGGCCTTTTACACCCTCAAAAATTCAACCAGATTTTCAACGCGATTGTTGGGGTAAGGCTGAAGATACAGGAACTGATATGAGGCTTAACAATGGGCTGTTATGGGAATTATGCTGAGTCAGTCAAGTCTGCTAAGTGTTAAAACTGCAGGAAATCGGGAACTGCTGTCTGCACCAGATAAGACATACATTTGGACATATCCATGCTCATGTGCATGGATAAGTCCAAATAAGATGTGCATTTGGACAAAATGTTCAGGATTAGTCACGAACACGCGTAATCCCAAATAAGGCACACACTTGGCACAGACTCTTGTGTATAAAGAGCGTGAAGAAATCCCTTTGTTCAGCAACACTTAACATTGTGCACTAAGGTATCCTACATCAGAAGGCGAGGTGAAAACATTGAATGAAGTTTCACCCTGGCCAGCTGTGAACTCTCCTGGTTAATAACGTTTGGGTTTAGTTACAGAAATCAGGGTAGAGAAAGACAGTGATCGAGATATCTCTAATAGTTAAACGTGTGTGTTATTTGTTAAAGTACTTAGTAAATGAATTGTGGTTTTATAGAGCTGTAAGTATCTCTGCTGTGTCATCATCTATGTATGTATTTTGTCTCTCAGAGATGGGCAACACGATGAAAGAGATGCTTTGTATCATTTTATTTCATGGTTGATCTTTTCTAACTGATTTTTTTTGCTTGTGTTAGATAATAAATCTTAATATAATTGCATTAATTTACTTGGTGTCAGAATATACTGCATTCTCCCTTGTTGTTTTCCCAGATGAGCTTACAAAATGTTAGGAATGTTTTGCCTGCACTGAAGACAAAACTACCATAGTTTGTTTCTGTCATTCATTTTTAATCTTATTATCACGTGAATGTAATTCCACATTTGTTTTTACATATTACTTTTAATGTTAGGAAAATTCTAATATTCTGATTCTCCTAACTCCTCCCTTACTATGGCCGTTGAGTAATAGATAAGACACCTAACCTAATCTGATTCCTGACTGATGTATGTAGTATGAGAAATAGTGTCAGGCATTGGATAGGCAGTACTTTGGATTTGTAGACTACTCATGTATCTAAATGGCAACATGAAGCAGAAAGGTTGCTACATCACTCTGGACCAGTTACATTGTGCAAAGTCTCTTTGTTTCCGAGTCAAACAGATGCATTCAGCTACAAAGAAGTTACTTTGTTCGTTATAAAAATTAAAAACATTTTATTGATCATTAGAATTATTTCTTATTTGACACTGTCGAACCCATTGGAATAAAAGTACAGTTGAAAATATTCACTTGTAACAAAGTATGTAAATATTTTTGAGGTATGTAGGTTTCAAGATTTAGTATCTGACGGATATTCATTTCATGTAAAATGAAGACCAAATGTAGAAAATTTCCTTTAATGATCCTGCTTTAAGAAGGTTATCTTACCTGTTCGCTCACTGAATAAAATTGAATGGCAGATTTAATTAAATTCTATGTAAGTAATAACTCTAAAGAAACTATTTATGATGATGAAACTTGAATCAGATGAAATGTTTCTATTTATCTTTCAACATTGTGAATTTTCTAGTTAGTCAGTGTTAGCTACTACTGACTTTATATGCATTAATTTTAGTCAAGAAACAGTACGTTTGCCACAATTTGGATTTGAGGCTCTTTCTGCAGTTTTTTTTTTGATGATATGAATTGTAGTCACTATACTAAGACATAATAACTTTTATTCGCAGTTCAAATTTCAATATTTAGATTAAATATTTTTTGTGAAGTGCTTACAGCCATAGAAATGCATGTATTACTCATGGAAATTTGTGACAAAGGTGCTTCCAGTTTAGACAGAGTATTTAAGATGGGTGAAATCTGGTATATTTTTCATAAGATGCCAACTTTATTATCATAGGGAAAAGTTAGCAAACACATATAAGCATGGGATAAAAAGAGGAACATAATACTTTATGGTTTTTAGTCGGTAACTAGATCTGCTATAGCTGCATAAAAATATAGATGTTGACCATCTCAGTAACCTTGTTTGTTCTGTATATTATTTTCCCAGATTGGGCGCAGCTGGCACCTAGTCTTTTTTCTAAATTTATCCCAAATATCCTTCCCCCTGCTTTGGAATCCAAGCTCTCAGAATATGCTGCTCAAGACCAAAAACTCCAGCGAGAACTGATACAGAATGGCTTTGCCAGGTAATGTTTAGACTCAAATTTAGAATTTACCTACGTTCCAAATGTATCATTGCCAATATGGCTGCTTATTTGTCTAGGGGCACAGGTGTTATTTGGTTCATCCATCCCAAAAGACCCTAGAATGGAATGTTGATTGTCATTTTCACTATACTTTTGGATCTCTTAGCATCTGCCGTAGTTATTTTGACATTGTCTATGCAGTACTTTGTTTTTTTTTACACATCCTACTTTATACATTATCAAACTTTTGTCTGCTATGGCAATTCCTAATTTCATGGCTATTTGGTCAGTCTTGAGCTGCCTCCTTTAATTGAGTTGTTTTCCTTGTTTAGTTAGTCAAATTTGAAATGATTGAGATCTGACAGTGCTCTGTGATGTACTTTTTTTTTGAAGTCCTGTTAAAATCCAGCTGCTCCAATACAAATTCCACAATGATCGTCACACAGTGGAAGAATGGCACTTTAGAGCCCTGTCTTTGTGTGAAGGAAGTTCTTTAAGTTTTTTTGAGAAGATTTGTAGCTTGCTTTGTGGATGAGGTTGTAGACTTGCTCACCGAGCCAGTGTGTTTGATTGCAGATGTTTCATCACCCTGCTAGTTAACATCGTCAGTGCGCCTCCGATGAAGCTTCACTGGAGGCGCGCTGATGATATTACCTAGCAGGGTGACAAAAGGTCTGCAATCAAACACACTGGCTTGAAGTTCTTTAAGGATCAGCAGACCCACTGCCTGAACGACGTTCATTCTGGCACATAAGCCACTAAACTTGTCTGCTATAAAAATACAGGTAAAGGTTTACATGAGCTGTTTTGTGTGAAAGCTTTCTATTCGGATACTGAAATCTTCTCGAGCAAGAGAACAGCTCAAATTCCTCACCTGTGGAGAGGCTGCTTCACATGGTGACCAACTTGCCTTTGAACCAAAAGTACAAGTTTTGTGTTCTTAATAAGAAACTTTCAACTGAAGCTCTGAGAATGTTTACTTTGCCTACACTGGTCAGATAATTACACCTTTCCATGCAACAGCTCTTTCTGCTTGCCGTAGTGAAGATTTTGACCAAGATTCCGCCAATGCCTGTTGTGCTATCACACTAATCTCAATCACAAAGTACTCAGAAGTTGCCCCTAATTCCCTCTGTTTTGCTTAGGAAGAAGCACTGCTCCTCTCTAGAGATTTGGTATTTATCGGATCGTTGGAGCATATTTCGATGGAAAAGTGTACATGCAAAATTCCTAAATACTTACTTCCTTCGCACATTCTATAACTTTTTAAGTTGCATGTCTCTCACCTCACAGTGTCACATCTACATCAGTTATGGCAACTTGTTTTACAGTTTATAATGTCATGTGATTTGTTTATAAAGCTAAACCATTGCACACATGAGGCCATAAATACGTTGAAATTGTTGTGCCATTAACAGATCATTATTCCAGCAATTTGCAATGCAAGTATAATGTGGTGATAATGATGAGGTGAACAATTCAACTAGCATCATTTGCAACTAAACTTGACATTGGAATAATTTCTGGCCTATTGTTTGCCTTGTTACTGTGTAAGCTTTTTTATTCTTAGAAGTATAGAACACATAATTCAAGTTGACATTTGCAACAATCTGAGATGAAAACTGCCCTTCCTGTGTAACCATACAGTTGCAGGATAAATTGTACATAATTGCCATGCTTTTTGTATCACTATCCAGCTGAAATGTCTGCAATAGTACTAATTTTGAAATGGAGCATTAAAGTACTTAGGGCAAGTACGGACGGGCAGGAAATGTTGCCTCAGCCAGTGACATCTATATCCCACAAATAAATAATAAAAACTTCCAAAAAAAACTTAAAAATTGCTATTTCTAACTAACCTTGCCATTGTAGCTGTTTCAAAATATGTTTACAGGGAATTAATGACTTCCAAGAAGTGGTGATTACACCAGCTACAACAAAACAGCGTGTTTCTAGATTCTGAGAAACTACTAAATATAATATTTAGATCTTGTCACAGTAGACGTGCCACCTGTGGTTTACTTTTTTGCTATCAAAAATGCTCCTTCTGGAAGGAGAAATGAAAAGGAAAAACTTCTGTGGGTAGATAGTGGCATAGGTGACCATAATTGCAAATACAAGTTCACATTTGTAAATGTGCTGCTGCTTTACACAACCATCTATCTGATCGGTTGTCGTTATAACAGTTACACAGGCTACCTGTCGTTAACACCATACCATTATAGAACCCTGACCAAGGGAGAGCTCTTTACATAACGCCTTGCATTACATAACACCTTGTAGTTCAATGTGGAGACACCATTCACTGGAAAGCCTTCAAATAGTTGAAAATGTTAACTTCTATTCAACAACAGCAAAACAAAGAAAATGCAAACAAAAGAAAACTGTATTTGCTACTGGAAACAAACAGGGGCTATTTGTCTTGTACAGTTAATCTACGAATGCTGCATCCAGCTCACATTTATTGGAAGCTGCTGTCAATTAAGTCCTGTCTGGCCTGTTGCATTTGGTGCTTCTTCACTGTCTCGTATTGAAGGTGGTGTTCCTCCTGCTCGGTGTCCTCTTCTTCCTCCTCAGAAGACTGTTCTGATTCTGCAGCTCTTCAGACTTCTCTCTTCATTTGTGCAGAACACTCTGTCTAGAGTATTCTGCAAGGCCTCACACAGAGTCACAGACACACTTGATCCAAACATCAGAACCTCTCCTTGAAGGGATGGAAGCTATTTTGCTGATGAAGACTACTGCTTTATGATATACCCCACTCAATGTGGTGTATACAGTACATTGAGTCCTGCATCTGGGGGTAAAGCCTACTCCCAGGCTGCACCACTGACCTCGAGAGATGAAGCGGTGAGATCTTTATGAATTGCATCAGTAACAGCCTTGATACGTTGTTGGTTGAGATTTGAGAGATCCCACACTGATCCCCCAATGAATTCTTGGAAATAGCTAGTTGCTTAAAATTTTGATGCAGTTGTTATATTGACGATTACTGGGATAGGATGGCCACCCACTCTTTCAGTTTGGAAGTACTCCTGCACCATCTCCACATCCTGAGGGGACCTTTAGCTGTGACTTCTTCATGTGGAGCTGTTTGGCACTAGAGGTTGCTGCTGATCCTGGGTTTCCTAATTTCTTCAGCCAGAGGATGGTTAATCTGCGGAGCTCATTGCCACAGAAGGCTGTGGAGACAAAATCATTGAGAGTATTTCAGACAGAAATAGGTTCTTGGTTAGTAAGGGGATTAAAGGTTACAAGGAGAAGGCAGGAGAATGGAGTTGAGAAACGCATCAGCCGTGGTCAAATGGTGGAGCAGTCTTGACTAGCCAAATGGCCTAATTCTGCTCGTATACCTTGTATCTTATGGGCATGTTTGTTCCTCTTTGATTTCTCTACGCCATATGTGACGGTAGCACCTATGCTATGGCATCACGCTCTACGTGATGATGTTGGATCCATTGGTCACTGTTCCAACGAACCTGTTCGGGGAATACCGGAAATAGAATGGGTCTTTAGTAATGTGAGCAGTCAGCATTTGCATCAGACACAAATGACAGTTTAGCATAGTCCTAATGCCTCTACTTTACTCTCTTTGTATAATGGATCTTATTCCGACATATGGAATCACACCATGCAAATACAATAGAAGATTGTAAGTCTATTAGAATTACTGATATCTGGTACCACCCCATCCCCCACATCACCCAAGGAATGCAGCATTACATAGAAGAACATGTTGAGACGAATACATAGAGTTCAAGATGAGATGCCCCTGTGCAGTCTGTGTTACCTTGGATTGATATTGTGAATTGTTGCCCGTGGATGCCACTTTCAAGGTCGACTGTGATTATTTCTGCCTCAGAGGTTACTGCAATCAACCTACAGTGACAAGTGACATGGACAAGATTGCCTGTGACCAGGATTTGTCTTCTACACAGCTGGACACTGCATGCATTTCAGATGCAATGCGTGTAGTTACTTTCAGCCTGTGCTCTGTAAGTGTCTGATTAATGCAGTTGTCCCTTGAAAGGCCTTGCATTTGTTCACAAATAGAACCGCATGCTCAGTCAGGGGAAAAAAAAAGCATTTACTATGCCCACTTGATGTGGCAAGAACCACTTTCAAGTTCCATTGAGCATTCATGGTTTGTATGAGTATGGAAGGCAACGCAGGCTGTGTTTGGCACAGTGAATTGCAAGCTTAGCCCGATAATCGAGGAAGCCCTTCCTCCCCATATACAATAACCCATGTCCTCCAATGCCCTACCTTCTCGTACCCTTTATATATTGAGCTGCCTCTTTTCATTATTATTTCTCTGCATCCCAGCATGCTGTGTCCAATTCGCACAATTAAATTCCCCAATGTCCCAATTGTTACAGTGACTCCGAAGAGACCCCCCCTTGACTCTTGTGTTGATCCCCAAGAATGACCATTGCATCCTAGCCACCTCCCCAATGAATTGGAAGAACAGCCCCAAGAGATGAGTGACTGGCCTTGTAGTGATCTTGGTGCAGCTCTGCAACTGACTTACTGCAAATGCCTGATGGTTACACTAAACTGGCAGAATTTACAGTAGCCCATTCCCCACACTCCAGTGATACAGTATCCCTGACTGTGACTATCTCTAACAGCCCGTCAACTGGGTCCAAGGCCCTAGACTGAGATTGGACATTGCCCTTGACTGATGAGAGCACCCCCTTGACTTGACCAAGGTCTATGTCCCCTTCAACTTTGTGACTTGGAAATTTAGTTGAAGTACATGCAATGTGTTTACTGCATAAGCTGCTTGGCACATGGTGCCAGTGTGACATTAATGGAGCAGGGTGCCATACAGCAACACGTTCACCCTTTGACTGATCCCTGCTGATAACCGAGCAAGCCACCTGCTTTGTGCCTGTGTTAAATGGCAAGGCAAGATGGATGTTCTCTGAGCCTTTAAGTTCTGAATGAAATGGCAAAGTGCAAAATGACAAGGCAAAGATGCTGCGAACATCCAAGTG